TCGATTCTCTTGCGCAAAACCATGCTTGAGGTGTGGACGCTCTGCGAGTTTTTGCAGAAAAATGGCCATTTTTCAGCAAAAACTCTGTAGTGTAGACATAGCCTGAGCTGGGCATGACTTTCCTGGATGGGAGAAGCAAAGACAGGTGCTGGCAGGTTGCAAACGCTCTCCCCTCCCTTCCATGGCCACATGCTCCATGAAATGCTACATGCGGCCCAGGATCAGCTGGAGACTTCCTTGCTGACCGGGGCTCTGTGCGGCGCTGCTGCTTTGAAACGCCACGAGGAGCTTGACGCCAGGCTCCCTGTAGCATTTCAAAGTGGCAGCACCACCTGGAGCCCGGGTCAGCGAGAGTCCCCAGCTAACCCCGGCTTCCATGCGGCGCTTTCACCTTTGAAGTGTAGCAACAGCATCGACTACTCGATAAGTTAATTACTCGATATTTAACATCCCTAATCAGAATCATAACTAAGGTTAAGATTCTGTTACAAGTATTTTTAGTTATAAAAAAAGGGGACAAGATGTGGGCAATAAAACAAACCTCTGGCATCTGCCCCAACCCTGCTACTGCTGCAGCCCTAGGTGGTGGACACACCCTAGGTGCTGCTCCAGCAGCCCCAGGACGGACTACCAGCCAGCTCTGTGGTGCCAGGATTGTCTTTTTGTTCTGTCACGTACAACACCGAGCTAGCACAATGGGGTCCCTGAGTAGGTCTCGTGATAAACTCAATGATGATTTGTATTATTCCAATGCAAGTTTGGGTGCAGACCAGCTCCAAAATGGTAATTTCTGTCTTCCAAGCTCACGTCTTCCTTCTTCTGATCCATGTTGAATGTGTAGAATGTGACCAGTTCAGTTTCTTACCATCTATTACACTCTGTAACCCTCTGGCTGCTAGGATTGAAAGTTTTATTCTTTTTTATATTTGTGCTTTAGGTTTAGTAATGTAGTAATGTAAGGTAATATTTATAATCATATTTAATACTGTACTAGTCAAATCCTTTAGTTAAGTATATATTTCCTATATTTCCTTGTTCTAAAATGTAGTGGGTAACATAGTTTTGGTATTGTGTCTGTGTTAATGAGACTAGAGGAATGTTGAAGGCTAAGGCCTTTAGTGTTTGATTTACAATGCCTTTCTGCTTTGCCCAATGCAGATATTGATGTTATGCTCTTCTTCGAAAGTCCTTGTAAGAGATTGTTTGTGTGTGAAAGTGGCATGTATGTGTCGAGATAAAGGTGCAAAAGTTATTGCTTAGGACCAGATGGCCAAAGGAGGGGTGAGCGTGGGTGAAAACTAGATGACCCGGCGTCAAAGAAGAACCATCTATAATCATCGATGCATACCCCTACTCAGAGGATAATAGGCAGATTGGCAGCCTTAAAGCAGAGCCAGCACCCCTGAAAGACAACTGATTACAGGATGAGCTTTGGAAAATGTTTTGCGAACACTGACATCAAAAAGATAACACTCCGGTCACAGGCTGACACAGCAGAATCCATAGACTTCAACAGAGAAAAAGATTATAAAATCAGGGTGCTTTGCTATGGAACTTTGGGTTCATCTTGCCACCAACTCCAGGGAGCATCGGATCGATCGACTGACAAAGGCCCTGCTCTCCCTCTGTGATCAATCTAACTGGCCACTAGATTGGTACAGAATCTGGACTGGTAACTGTGACATCGTCTGGCGGGACTGCGTATGCATGATGTTTGCGTGTGTGTGAGTGATTGAAAAGCATATGCAACTGTTGTAGTCTCAATAAATGCAGCGTACTGCCTTTTCCCCTATAAAAGATCTTGTGTGCTTTGTTTAAGCATAACATGGCAGACAAACCCTTATTCCTAGTCCATCCGAGTCTTTCCAAAATGTTGTGAAACTCTCAAGTTTGGAGTCAGTGGATTTTATCACTTCTCCATGCAGTCAGCAGCTAAGCTCATTGCTGCAAAAAGGAAACACATTTTCTCTTAATCCTGCTCCTTGTGGCATCTTCAGGACTGATGCTCCCTGGATCTCTTCTCGATTTATGTATAATGGTCATTTCACTCCAGGCCATCAGGGCATGCCTTCATTACAGGCTGGATCAGCGGGCAGCAATCAATCCAGCGGGGGTCGATTTATCATGTCTAATATAAACACAATAAATCAACTGCCAAGTACTTTCTTGTCAACTCCGGTGCTCCACCAAAACAAGAAGAGTAGGCAGAATCGACAGGAGAGCGTCAGCTGTTGACTTACTCAAGTGAAGACACTGTGGTAAGCAAACCGTCAGCTACATTATTCCTGTAGCTGAAGCTGCATAACTTAGGTCAATGGCCCCGCAGTAACACACCTCTTCCCCAACAGGATTTATACATGCATGGAGCAATCGTAGAGCATGACCCTGCACCAACGATCCCCGCACAGAGGGACCTTTGACACACAGATCCCACCCTTCAGCCTCCTTTGCACCACTAGCTGCCCTAGGATCCCACAGGAGGAAGTGTAGATGGAGCAGGACTGAGCATGGTGTTTTGGCCATCCTCTGGGTTGTGGATTGAAAGAAGTGGGAACCACCAGCCTCACTCACCCAGTAGGTCTCTTTCACCTGAATTTTGTAACTTCTGTGATCCCTTCATTCAACACCCTAAGGAGAATTCCAACTGGTACCTTACCCTCTGCACTATGCTGCTGTTTTGTTCTCCAGCGGTGGAAATGTAACCACCACAGGGTGGATTTGAGCTTGGACCCTCTGGAGTTTAGTAGAAGAGTCTCTACAGCCTGAGCTATAAAGCCAGCTGGCGCTCAGGCTAGGCTGTAGAGCTCCCTTGTTCTTAGCTCTTGCTGTAAGTGGTCTAAGTGCTAGTACATAGGACAGTGAACTTTTGTGCTTTTTGTGATTGGCTCTTTTTGTGCAAGAAACCCTTATTGAGTGTCCGCACATATCTTTCTGCACAAGAGTTCTTGCACAAAAAGGAGTCATTCCTTGTGGGGAGAGGAACTACTCTACCGGCAAAAGCCCTCTGTTCTGTCGATTTACTGTTTGTTTGGTTTTTGCGCAAAAACGCGTTTGAGATGTGGACACTTCACGGGTTTTTGCATAACACACACAGAGCCAGAGGTGGGAACTGAATTCCTCAATGCCATGCCCCCCCCCCACCTCCTCAGGGGGCCCATCCTACAGACCATCCTTCCACCCAGGGAACCCCAGGGTTGATTCATCTAGGGGCAAGACGAGCTCACTGAGACACAACCAGGTGTTCTACCCAAAGGAACAGCCGGGTCACTTCCTCAAGGTGTTTGGCTGGTTATACATCCCTGACTGGGCCTACAGGTAAGCCAAGCTAGAGCGGCTTCCCTCATTATTTAGCATTTCTTCATATCATGGCCAAAGGGTCTCAGAAAAGAGCCAACACAAGCTCTCAGCAATATCCATTGCACAGAAATGAGTATGGGGAGGGAGAATCAGCCAGGGCTGGAGGGAACCAGCTTTCCACTCTTGCAGGCAAGAGCTGCCGAGGTGACGGCTCAGTAGCGTCACAAAATGCTGTTTGAGGCATCAGCTGCGTCTCCCATATGTCTGTACAGCTCGTATGTCTGTACGGGTCAGAGGTGCTCAGGCTTTTCCCTCTTGCGATGTGATGCCACAAAAAAGCAGCATTAGGACCCCTCTACCATCTATCCATCAAGCTGGGGGAGAAGAGGAGTTCACGACCCCTGAAACCTGATCCTGAGCTCCTGGGACAGAACCTAGCACAATGAGGGCTCATTTCAGCCTCTTCTCAGCTGGAACAGGGTTGCAGTACCAGGTCCTCATTTCCCTTCTAAACAGTCATTCTGCTGGAGGGAGATGCTCCATCATAAGTCAGTATCACGGTCACAAGTATCTAGAGATGTGCACTGTGGGTGGGGGGTTGAGAAAACCAGATGCAGCCGTTCATCCGGAGCTGCTCTCCAATTTGTTCTATTCAAGTTTTATTCCTCTCTCCTCTTTCGGTTTTTGTAATGAACCTCCATCATTCATCTGTCTCAGTATATTTCTTTGATATATTCCTTCAAGTCTGCCTAGTTAGACACGAGGCAGGAAACAAAATGTGGGCTGAACCCTGTGCGCAGCTCTTGCTAGCGTAAACCTGATGCAACACCATGGAAGACTCTCTTACTACAGTGTTACACCGACGTCAGAGCAGCATTTGGCCCTGCGGGTAGAATTTATGCTACGCTGAGACATCCATTTAAAAGAAATAGTCTTACATCAAAACTCACAGAGCAGATCGATTTCCCATAGGGAAAGTTACACTGTGCTATTACCTTCCATGTCAGTTTTAGGTTTTAGAGGGAGTGCTGAGGATTTACACCTATTCCTGGATGTTAATGTGTCATAGATTATTTATTCCCGTATCAGCTTCTCTGCTCACACACTGGGCAAGCTGATGGAAAGAGAGAAACCCCTTCCTGTCTTTCCTTACCCCTACCCCCTTACTACCAAAACAGTCTTTTAGCCAATGTATTATAATTGTTTCACTGCCAACTCCCTCTCCTCAGTCGCTCCCCTCTCAAACAATTCACCCATCACTTAAGTTTTTTTCCCATGCCCCTTTGTTTCCTCAACAGGTTAGGAAGAATTTGGCTGCCTCATATCCAGGGAACTGACCAGGGCTGTAATGAAACACAGGTCCTTTTCATTTCAAAAAGGCAGTTTGGGGTTGTTTTAGGACCATACAGAACCCTCTGCTTTCAAATAAACCATTCACCCTCTAGCTCAAGCTTTGTCACTGGTTCCCCTCCATTCTCTGGCTCTGCCAGGCATTGTTTCTCCCTGCAATTCACGCAGGGGGCAGGTCACTCATTAGCTGTCGGATCACATTCAATGCACTCAAAGTGTAAAGGAAAAAAAAATCAGAAGGAAATTCCAGCCCCTCCCCTTCCAAGTTTAAAGCAGGCAGGAAAGAGCATTGATCTATGTATTTAATCGAGCAAGGCAGCATCTTTACAGGCATAAGGAACAAGCCAACTTACCTCTTCTTCAAGCCCATGTGTTATTTTCATCTGCTGATTCCCTTGAATTGCTCTGGCCTTTGCATGCCACACTCCTGTAATTGAATAGTGACACCAGTGTATTTCTGAAAGTATTTAAGAAAGGCTGATGGAGGAGCCCTGCCCACAGTGGGAGGGGCCTTCTGCCATCAGAGACTTAAATAAATTCAATCCAAAGGCTGAAAAGTAAAATATAAACATACAAATCCATCCAGCGTGGGCAGCTGCTAACCATATGGCTCTAGGGGAAGAGGGAGGGGAAATAGCCGGAGAATTTGAGGTTCAATCTTGTCTCACCACACACAGCCCACACAACACAGAAAAAGATGGGTATTAAAATTCCGCACTAACAGAAGGAGCCCCCAAAAGCCCTTTGTCTAAGGAAAGATTCCACAGAAGATTTGGGAAAGAGATGTCACTGCTGATCTCAAAACCTCAGTAATAAATAATAATTACAAATAATATTTCCTGTGACCCCCCCCCTTTTAATCTACATTGTACCAGATTTTAAGAATGTTGCATTATTAATTATTATTACTTTCTGCTTTAATATCTAAATCCTATTAGCAAATAGCTGTGTTTGGAAAGAGGCCGGGGAAGGGTCAGAGGAACAAAGTCGTTTAGGCATTGGCATTTTGTATCCCTCATTGAGTTTTTGAGCTTAAATTTGCCATGGCCTTTGAGACAGGCACTTGTAAAGGTTCTCAGACTAGAAAGCTATGCAGCTTCAGCCAGCCCCTCCTCTCAACCAGCCCTCAGCTGATCAAGAGTCTAGACAACCCAACCCTTTCGGCCCCTTGAGCACTGGTTTAGAAGCACTAATTGTGCAGTCCTTTTGTCCTTGTTGTCACACACAGAGCTGGATCAGAGTTGCTCTAAAGCAAGCTACACGAGGGGGAATGGGAGGACTGGACTCTGGGAGCGTGCCCTTTCTGGTGGACACGGCAATACCTGCAATAAATTAAGCTTCTACCCTATAGTAGTCTGATTGTCAAGGAAACTTTCTAAATGCAACCTGAGGCAGATTCCAGACTAAAATGGTAATTTTGAGAAGTATGGATGGCCATGGTTTAAGCTCATGTGTATGTTCACTCTGAAACCTAATGATGACAATATACACTGTAGTGCTCGCTTTTAATTGTTCTCAGCATGCCACGATTGCTAAGGTACCAGAGTTTCCCTTTTGACTTAGAATAGAACAAAACTGTGGAAACGTGCGTGGCATCTGTTGAACAGATTTGTATTATTGATGATTTGTGCAGGAACACCCAGCTATTTTGAGATCATGGCCATTGCTTGGAATTGCATGTGGAATCCGAGTAGCATCACTGGTTTTAAAGGCTTGCCTCTGGAAACGGATGTAAACATGGCTGGAAAATGCAAGCTCAGCAAGAGACTATGAAGTTGAAAGAACAATAGTGCAGTTGCTATTTCAAGTGGCCTAGGATTGTGACAAGTAGGTAACTGACCAGATTCAACCTACTGTAGATTAAAACGGTTAAAGTCACTATTGGTGATGTGGACCCAGGCCACACTGGGTCCCATCTATAGAGCTGGCCCCTCACCTAGGGCAGTCCAGCACACAGGCTTTGCTGTGTGAGTGGCTCCCAGCCAGCCGGTCCCACTTGCCTCAGAGGGCTCGCCACCTCACAGCCCATAGGACAGGTCACCTCCCCGAGGGGTAATGGGTGCAGCCAGGAGGCTGGGCACGGGTGCCGCTGGGCAGTGGGGAATGGGAGACGTGTGTGTTTTGGGGTACGGGTCACAGGAGGTTCTGTGATGGGATTTGGGTGGGAGGGTGCTGTGGATGGGACCACTGAATGGAGGGTGTGCAGCGCAGGGTGCAGGTGTGGTGGGGAGCGTTGGACATAGTAAGTCTGTTGAGATGCTGGGCAAGGGGGTCCAGGGAATGTTAGGCAAGGGGGTGATGTGCACATTGGAGGCCCCTGCCCCGGAGCATGGGGAGCAGGACTGCTCCCACTGCACAGTGCTCCGTTGCCTTCAGCTAGCCCCTCGCTTTGGGGACCAACCCTTCTCTGCCCGAGCACCATGTCTCAGTGCTGGAGCATGAAATAACCCCAGGAGGCTCATAGTGGATACATTACAGAAATCCCACCGCTCTGTCACTACGGTGTATTTTGCAAGTTTCAACAGGGGTGGCAGGTGTCATAGGCAGGGGAAGGCTCTGCCTTCCCAAACTGCCAGCCTGGCCCTGCCCACACTGCACCCTCGAACGCCTACTGTAAGCATACCGGGGAGGGGGGAGTGTTGTTGTCCCCAGAGCCTTCCCTCCCTGTGCTCACGGGCCTCGTAGGCTTTAGCCGTGCACCGCCTGCCCTCCCCTGTGCTCCTGGGCTGGGGAGGCTGGGGCCACATGCCACCCACCATCCCCGTAGTACTGGGGAGCAGAGCCTGGGCAGAAGGGGCAGGGTGGGGGCAGGGCTGGAGGGCTTGCCTCCCCCAGCACTGTCTTCACTCACCCTCCCTGAGTTTCAGCTTTTGAAAGGTAGCAAGCACAGGGCCAATAAAATAAGTCAATCAGGTCTTACCTGCCCTGGAAGGCTCTTTGGCCATCTAGAGAGCTAGTAGGGCATCGGCACAAGTCACAAGAAAGCAAACCCTGAAGTCCAGAGTGGAGGCCTTTCTGGGAGAAATGCTTTAGTGGAACAGAAGTGACCGTGTCCGAGGGGTCACTGGATGGAGCGGTGTGGCCGGTGTTATGCAGGAGGGCAAACTAGATGCTCTGATGGTCCCTTCTGGCCTGAGAAGGGCCCTGATTTTGAGTCAAATTCTTTAATGCTCTGACCGTTCCTGATACTTCTAGACTTAAAAGAAACAAGAACAAGATTTAAAGCCATGTTTCAGGCTCTCTTTATACATCAAAGAGGCAAACAATAGCCTGAGCCTTCGTTTTTGCCGTGTGGCAGTAATCGACTGGTTCAGCCTAACATCTGCAGTGATGCTGATACAGGAACAAAGCAGCAAACCAAAGCCAAGCCCCATGGGATTGTGCATCAGAAAAGACTAGCAGTCAAGGAGGAAGCTGCCATGAAATCACCCTGGTATTGTAGCCTGGGGGGCCAGAGATACACCCGGGGGGCTGAGGCTGGCCCAATAGTGCGGCTGAGGTGGTCGTGTTGTCAGTCTCCTGTTCCCAAGGGTGTGAGAGGGGAGACACGTTTTCCCTTTCCATCCTCCTTTCCTTTTGCCTTTAAACGTCACCTCTAGGCCCTCCAATTGCGGGTTGGTCCTGGAAAGTTCCATCCCATGCCCATCACAGGGGTGTCAGAGCTTCTTATCAAAACAGCATGGGGGGCAGGATTGTCTTAGCTCATAGAATACTAGGACTGGAAGGGACCTTGAGAGGTCATCGAGGCCAGTCCCTGCCCTCACAGCATCCCTGATAGACATTTATCTAACCTACTCTTAAATATCTCCAGAGATGGAGATTCCACAACCTCCCTGGGCAATTTATTCCAGTGTTTGACTACCCTGACAGTTAGGAACTTTTTCCTAATGTCCAACCTAAACCTCCCTTGCTGCAGTTTAAGCCCATTGCTTCTTGTTCTATCCCCAGAGGCCAAGATGAACAAGTTTTCTCCTTCCTCCTTATGACACCCTTTTAGATACCTGAAAACGGCTGTCATGTCCCCCTTGAGCCCTGACATTCTGGAGCTTAGACACACTGTGGGCACAGCCTGCACTGGCCTTTCTGTATCTGCTGAGCAGAGACCAGACGCTTCTCTCTCCAACAGCAAATGAACCAGCTTTTGCCTCAGTCAGCAACTCCAGCCTTTCTAAGCACAAGATCATTTTTGAATTTAAGTGCAACCCAGGATCCACCCCGCACTCCATATCCCTCTCTCTCCGTCCCTCATTCTCCCCCACTCTCCTAATTTTCCTTCAAACTGCACAGTCTACCCTATCAAGCCCCGCGCATGGGCTCAGGGCTGTCGCAGGGAGAGATGCCCCTCTCTCAGCCAGGGCGGGGAAAGGTACCAGAGGAACCTGTGGAGAGTGAGGAAGTGAAACCTGCTCTCCTGAGCACTAGTTCAGAGCCTTGCCCACAGAGTCATTCTTCCCCTGAGCTGACTGAGAGCTTTCTGGCCTATGGGCCGAGCCTACTTCCTAACAGGAGACTCACCACGCTACCATCACACCAGGGACTCTCCTCAGAGAGCAACAATAATACTGCACAGCGAGGGGACAGACAAGTAAGTCAACTAGGTGCCAAAAGATAGGCCCCTTGAGGCCACATTGCAGCCCCTAAATAAAGCAGTTTGGCTCTTTACCCAGCACGTCTGACTGAAGTCAGGAAGAGCTGCTGAATGCTCAGAACTTCTGAAAAGCTGCTCACAACCGAGCGCCTCACTTTGTTTGGATTTGGCAGCCTGCCTTTCGGCACGTACCTCCTTCGGACAAACCGTGGCCTTCGTGACAATGGCACTCCCAGTGCATTGGTGCAAGCCTGGAGTAATGAGTCATAATGCTGGTATGTGCCCGGCTGTTACATGACACTTTTCATCTTCAGACCACAAACCAAAGGAGATGAGCATCAGTGTCGCTCTTTTATAGAGCAGGAGACTGTGGCAAAGAGTCAGGGAAATGACTTGCCCAAGGCTGACAGCCTGGCCGGGCTCCAGGACAAGATGGGGAGGCCTTGCTCTGCGCCCTAGAAAGAACAGGGCCTCAGGCAGAAGGCAGGGCTACGGTGAGGTCGCCCGCAATATCACCTGCAGAGCATCGCACCTCTACCAGGCAGCCCTCAGTGCTATCCAGAGCATGTCATGCTGGACTCCGGCAGTGATTTAAAGGGCCTTTCCCCCTCATCAGTGCTAGAAATCCAGCGAGACAACTGGTGAGTCTGAGTTTAAACTCCTGGGGATGTTGGTTCCTGTCAAGGGTCTGAGCCACCCATTGTTATGGTTTGAATGAATGCATTAGGGACTGTGCACCAGTATGGCATGTAAATAGGTACATTTCTCCCTAATGTCCAATCTAAGCCAGCCTTGCTGCAATTTAATCTCATTGCTTCTTGTCCTATCCTCAGAGGTTAAGAAGAACAATTTTTCTCCCTTCTCCTCCTTGTAACAACCTTTCA